GCATTGAAACATGTAAATTATCATATGTGAAACAAATCGCCAGTCCAGGTTCAATGCATGATACAGGATGCTCGGGGCTGGTGCACTGGGATGACCCAGAGGGATGGGATGGGGAGGGACGTGGGAGGGGGGTTCAGGATGGGGAACACATGTGCACCCATGGCGGATTCAAGTCAATGTATGGCAAAACCAATACAATGTTGTAAAGTAAAATTAATTAATTAATTAAAAATGGAAAAAAAATTGTTTTTCCCTTGATTCTTGGAGCATTATAGTTTTCTTCATAAATTTATCACTCATGCAGACTTCATATTCTTGCCGGTATATCTCCTTTAATTACTTTTTTCAGTTGTGTTCTCTATGTTTTAACTGCTGACTTACAGAAGTTTGCTGTAGAATGTAAATATTATACCTTTGTCAATTTTAGACTTCACAAATGTTTATCCCAGTCTATTATCTGCCTGTTCACTTTGTCCAATGTAGTTCTCTGAACAGAAATCTTTAATTTTATATTGCCAAATCCAGTGGCCTTTTGCTGCTTAATTTTTGCTTTTAAATCGGGTTGATTTGGATCTAATTTCTATGTCCCCTATTAGAGTTAACTTTTTTTTTCTATAACGGTCTTTTGCAGTTATTGTCAGGTTCTTTCCTAGTTTCTTTCTTGCTATTCTGGATGCTTTATTTTACATTATATTTTCTAGTTAGTTGCTCTTGAAAGAAAGAAGCGTACTTGATATCTGTCCTTTTGATCTTTGCTCTATTTACTATTGCTGGAAAATAAGCCACTTGAAACTTAGTGGCATAAGACAACCAGTTTATTCTGCTCGTGGATTGTGTGGGTCAAGAATTTTGACAGAGAACAGTTGGTATGGTTTATCTCTGCCTCACAAAATCTGGAACCTCAGCTGAGAAGACTTCATGGCTGCTGGTGACTTGATGGACAGCTGCTACTGCTGCTAAGTCGCTTCAATCATATCCGACTCTGTGCGACCCCACAGACGGCAGCCCACCAGGCTCCGCCGTCCCTGGGATTCTCCAGGCAAGAGCACTGGAGTGGGTTGCCATTGCCTTCTCCAGACAGACAGCTGAGGCTGGAATTATCTGGACCTGCATTCTAGCACTTGATACCAGCATTGACTGAAACCTCAGCTGATCTTTCATTCAGAAGAGCTACAGGGGGCCACTCTATTTGGTCTCTTCCTATGGGCTAGTTTGGGCTTCCTCACAATATGGTGTCTGAGATCTTCAGAAGCCAAGAAGGTAGTGGTCAGGCTTTTTATGACCACTAAGTCTTGGAGGTCCCATTGCGTCATTTCCACCATATTCTATAAGCCAAGGCAGCCCCGAGGCCCACCCAGGATAAGAGAAGAGGACATCGATCCCCCCATTTGATGGGAGGACTGTTGGAACATTTTCAGGCATATTTTGAAACTATCAAAGTCTGCCCTTTGGCCTCAGTATTATTATTTACAGTTATTCCCATTTTTCTGACATACAAAATACACTCGGCACTTTCCAAGGCCTTCCCAAAGTCTCATGCCTTTAGGAATCAGGCTCAGAGCCCATCTAAACCAGAACCAGGTGCACTTAAGATTCTCAGGGGTAGTTCCCTGAAAGCAGATCCCTGAGTACTGTTTTTATTGATCTGAGGAGTGTATTAGTAACGATTCAGAGACTTGGGGCACTTTCTCCGGATATGGAAGAATTTGGTACCTTCAAACGGACCCTAGGGGCAATGATAATGATGCTCATGTGTGTGTGCTCAGTTTTGTCTGACTCTGCAATTCCCTGGACTGTAGTTCTCCAGGCTCCTCTGTCCATGGGCTTTTCCAGGCAGGAGTACTGGAGCGGATTGCCATTTCCTCCTCCAGGGAGCTTCCTGACCCAGGGATCAAACCTGCATATAATATATACCTAGGGGGCAAACTCACTGCAACTGTGGCCTCTAGTGGCCTGAAGCCTAGTTGCCCACCCTGAGCAAAGTTGAAATGCCTGAGCTTCTAGGAGAAACAATAGAGGGAGGGATGAAAAGGCTGTGAGAGGTGAATATGCTGGAATGGATATATTTAGTGAGGCCAGAAGAACACCAGAGAACACACCGTTCACCTAGGCAATTCAGAATGTGCTGGCCAGCGAGGAACAGCAGCATCGCTAGGAGGTCCAGTGATGGCTCTGTTCTGTAGGCCAATACCTGGTCACCGAGCAGGATTCCTTCATAAGAGTAGAGGCCAGGTGATGGCATTCAGTCACTGGAAGCCAGGTAAGAGAGGCAGTCAAGAGCATTTGACTCTCAGAGTTGCAGGGATGGCCAATTGAAGATGGTGTCCCAAGGGGCAAAATAGGTACCCAACAAAAGGTTTGCTTAACATCTGTAGTAAAAAGAAAGCAGAATGGAGAAGTGAGAAGATGGGGATAGTCTTGCAGATAAAAATTCATGATCCTTTGCTCAGTCTCCTACCTGAGCCAGTTTTCAGATCTGCAACCCTTTGAAGGGGTGTCTAGATCTTTAGGAAGAAATACCCTGCTACACCACGGCAAGCCTGTCCCATATAGATTCCCTGGGTCCACCCTCAAAGCAGCCTTCAGCCATGTAGTTGATTAAAACATTTGTTCAGGTTTTTCTGTAAGATATTATAGAACTGTAACATCTGTAACTAACATGTTTTTCTGTAACATCTTACAGAAAAACCCAAATGAAGTTTTTGGCCAACCCAATACCTGAGGGGCTATACACTGTGGAAATGAAATATATTCAGACTTTTTAAGATCTGCAGGACATGGAGTCTGGGTTGACATTGATGACCAGAAACCTGAAGCATCATCACCCTGTTAGTGTGGGGGCAAATGGGGGTAGTTCATAAATGAAGATCTGGTAATTAATAAATGAAGTCTAAATGAATTCTCCTGTCCCTGGATGTATTGCTGTGACTGACACGCCTGGCAGTCAGAAGCCCAGGCTCTATTGGGTCTCTGGCCTGGGGGGTAAAACTAGCGGGGAAGGCCACGTGGAAATCTCTGCAATGCCCCACAAACCTCCCTGCAGCCAAGAGAGCAGGTCAGAACCAATGCTGCATTCTGGGGTGGGGTGGGGGGCACTGAGGGTTAGTGATACCATTAAAGATCTAAAGGATTCCAGGATGGTGATTCCTACCATATCTCAGTTTAAGTCACCGCTGTCACCCCTGCAGAAACTGGAAGGATTCTGGGAAGTGACTGTAGACTGCTCCATACCCCACTAAGTCACATCTCCAATCGCAGCTGCTATGCCAGCTTGGTGTCTCCACTTAGGTAGGTTAACATGGCCGCAGGAACATGCTATGCAGTTATTTGCTTGTAAAACTTGTTTCTGTCTATCGCATTCAGGAAAGAGAATCAGAAACACATACATTAACATGGAAAGGAGAACAATATAGAGTTTTGCCCCCAAGACTATGTGAACTCTCCCATCCTTAGTCATCATATAATCTGGTGTGATCTGGACCATTTGAACCTCTTTACAGAGCATCATATCGATCCATTATGTCAGTGACATCATGCTGATGGAGCAAAATGAACAAGATGTGACTAGCACACTGGAGGCTTTGCTATGACCCATATGCTCTGGAGGATGGAAATAAACCCCATGAAGATGGAGAGGCCTGCCATTTGGGGAGAATCTTTAGGAGATCCAGTGGTCAGGGATATTCTGTGTTATCCCTCTAAACTAAACTGCTGTATCTAATATCTCCTACTGCAAAGAAGGAGTCACAGCACTTACTAGGCTTCTTTGGGTTCCAGGGCACCATATTGCACACCTAGGTGTACTTTAGTCTATGAACTGGGGGACGCAGAATGCTGCCATATTTTAGTAGGATCAGGAGAAGGACAGGGCTGTGCAGGGCGGCCATCTGACCCAGCAGACATCATATGATGGAGTTATCACTGATGAGAAAGAGATACAGGGTGTAATTTATGACAAGCCCAAGAGGGAGAATCTCAGGAAGCCTCCAGGTATCTGTGCAGTTACATCAGTCATGTCCAACTCTTTGAGACCCCACAGATTATAGCCTGCCAGACTGCTCTGTCCATACATATACACCTTTTGAAAAGTGGGTCTTAGCGTGCTACTGAGCCATGGTAGATAGCTGGAATGTTTGAGCATGGAACACCAAAGTGATTATGCATCCCAAACCGTACAACGTGAACTGGAGCCTATTGAACCTGCCAAATTGGAAAGTCTGAGAATCCAGCAGCAATTTATTACAAAATGGGAATGTACATCCAAGCTTGAGCATCAGCAGGCCCAGAGGGCACAGAAAGCTACATGAGCAGAGAGCCCAGATCCCCATGATATCTGTTTTACTAGCATCCAGCCCCCAGCATACACCTCTGATTGTGTCAGGGGAAAGAGAAGGAGTCCTGTATGAAAGAGGAGGAAAATGCCCAAGTTTAGTTTACAGATGGATTGGTTCAGCATGTGCACATCAAAAATGGTATGGCAACTGTATTACATTTCCACTTCAGAATGGCCCTCAGACACAATTACGAAGGGAACGTCTTCTCCATGGGTATTACATGGTGTACCTGGACATATTCACTTTGTATGAAAGGAAAAATAGCCTGAGATGGAATATAGATGAACTATGGGAAGTGGAAAATGGCTTGTCTGGTTAGTTAGAGATCAAGAAGGAAAAAGATTGAAAGCTTGGAGTTCAATCTTCAAAGCAGGAAATTCTTGGATAGAGGAATGGGATAAGTATATGGAATTGCGTGGAAGGTATGTGCATACCAAGTAGATAAAATGAGTTGGCCTGTTTATGCTAGCTAGCCTTTATCAGTGTCTACTACATTGCTGCAAAGTGCATACACAAAGTAACCACAGCTGCCGGCTGAAATAAGAATCATGCTTGTACCCAATAGCATAGACACCACTAACCAAGGCTAATCTAGCTGACTCTGTCCAACCACATTCACTCTCCACTGTCCAACCTACCAACAGCAGAGACTAATGCTGGCCCCTGGATATGGCGTGTTCTCTAAGCAGACAAACTGGTCAGTTGGTAGCAAGCTGACTTCACTGGGGTTCTCCCATCTTGGAAGCTCCACCTGTTCCCTCTCACAGGAATACACACTTATTCCTGGTGGGATTTGATTTCTTGCTCACAGAGAAGCACCACTATCTGGGAATTTATGGAATGATTGATCTAGAGATATGGAATTCCACTTAGCATGATATCCAACCAGGAAACTCATTTTATCATGAATAGTGGAGCAAGACAGTGGGCGTACAACTAATACCTTGGCCACCTGATTCGAACAGCTGACTCATTGGAGAAGACCCTGATGCTGGGACAGATTGAAGGCAAAGGGAGAAGAGGGTGGAGAGGATGAGATGGTTGGATGGCATCACTGATTCAATGGACATGAACTTGGGCAAACTCCGGAAGATGATGAGGGACAGAGAGGCATGGTGTGCTGCAGTCCATGGGGTCGCAAAGAGTCAGACATGACTTAGTGACTAAACAACAACAGGACCATAGGATTGACTAGTCATATCATGTGTGATTTTTACCCACATCACCCAGAAGTTGCCAGGCTGTTAGAGTAATAAGCAGCCTGCTGAAGGGGCAGATGAAGCACTAGTTCAGAGGCAATGCCTTATAATGATATCACCCATCCATCAGGAAGCAATACATTTATTGGATCAGAAATCTCTCAGTGATGCTGTGTTCCCATCAGGAAGAGTCCATGGATCTGGAAACAAGGGATAGAAGTAGAATTGGCTCCGCTTCCTATTACCCCCAGTGATCTACTCAGGTATCCTGTGGATCCCTGCCTCCACAACTCTGAGCTCTGCGAGATAAGAAGCCCTTGCTCCCAAAGTGGGCAGGCTGTCACCAGGGGACACAGCGAGGGTCTCACTGAAGTTCAGGCTACAGCTTCCCCCTGAGCCCTTTGGGATTCTTGCGTTCAGGGACCAGCAAACAAAAAGAGGAATTATCATCTTGTCAAAAGTAATTGACCCTGAACACCATGAGGAGGAAGCCTTCTGATACCCAGTGGAGACAGGGAAGAATGTGTGGGTTTAGGTGACCCAGTGGGAGCACCTCTTGGTACTCTTCACCCACAAGAATGGAAACATGCAAGAAGCCTGGGAGGAGAAGCTTGTATTTCATACGGAGCCAGGTTCTTGGGGAAAACTAGCAAGATCAATCTTGGTGGTAGCTGAGGGTGAAGGGAATTTAGAATGGAACAAGGAGGAGAGAGATAATGGGTACCAGTTGTGACCCTGAGTTAACTGCAGAGATGGGAGCTCTATTTTGTTACACAAACCTCCCTCTACCCGTGTTTCCCTCCAGGAAGTGAGGTCCATCAGAGCCCATGAGGAGCGGTCTCCATATATCATGGAGACATAGAACTGTGTGGCACAAGGGGTGGATGATGGCGGGCATGGAGATGTGGGGCTCAGCTCTCCTTTAAGAAGGGACTTGATGACCAGGAGGAGGAAGGTGATTTTCCTGACAGGTTCCAAGCTGTTGGCTTCTTTGGGATTTCCCTCCTCATTTAAGTGGCATTCATGCTCTCTTCTCAGAGAAGACCCCAGTGAATGACTGCGCAAGGCAGTGGTACAAGAGGTCAGAGCACCCATGAAGTGGTCCCCAGCCAACAACAGAGATCTAGCCCTTTGCTCACACTCCTCCAACGGGGATGTGCTCTGGAACTTGCTGTTGGGCTGGCCGAGACATTGTCAGATCGTCAATGTGTCTGATAACCTCTCCTCTCAGTTCTGCCTCTTCCACTTTCCCTTCCAGGGCTGACTTTCCTGCAAAAAAAGGTCTGTACTGTTTTTTAAAATTAATTTTTATTGGAGTATAGTTCCTTTCCAATGTTGTTATTTTCTACTATACGGCAAAATGAATCAGCTGGACATATACATATAGCCCCTCTTTTTTTGCATTCCTCACTCCATCTCAGTCACTGCTCTCCAAAGAAGCCCACTTGCAACCCATGTTTTATTCATTTTTGTAACTGGATTACCTTGTATAGCTCCTGGAACAGAAGAGATGCCCAATAAATACTTGGCAAATAAGACTGAACTGTCTACTGTGGCCTTGGATAAACCATGTGCTTAGTCATGGTCAGGTGACATAGCATATGCAAACAGAATTTCTTGTTTTCTTCTTTAAATTTTATCTTCCCGTTCATCAAACTTTTAGGGCCTTGAATGCAGCAAGGATGATGATGTTTTTGTTGGCTTCTTACTCATTAAAATGAGACAATCAAAATTCTTCCAAGTGTTTTGCAGTTTTCTGAGGCAGAAAATTTTCCATGCTGGGAAAGGGAGACAAATTTGTATTTCTATCACAAAGAATGTTCCCTAAGTTTCTTTTGAATGACTAAAAGATGTGTTCATCAGAGCCAGTCAAATTGCAGATGCTACCCGGAAGGGCAAGGCAGTTGAAACAGCCAGAGAAAACCACATAAAAGCGCTCAGTGCAACTCTGAAGCCACCCACGTAGCCGTGGCTGAACCCTGAGTCAAGTCATAGAGGCAGGAACTAAACTCATGTGGTGGCTAAAAGTCTATTTGAAGAGCTTGGCCAAAGTATGTAGATTTTATGAGGCAGCCTTTAAGATGAGAAACAAAAAAGTGATTTAGATTAGCTGCCCACCCTGTGAATCAAATTTCCTGGGTCACTTTCTAGATGGCTTTGCAGTTATATACAGTGCCTTGAGCACTCATGTAAATAGCATGATATAAAATCTGTCAAATGAGTATAATTCCAATCGCATCTCTAGATAGTTAAAAGTTGTGTCTCTCCAGGTCAGAGTATTTAGAAGAACTTGGGCCAATTGTTCTGTCTCAGGAATAGAAGACAAAGAATGGAAGAAATGTCTCCGTAAATGTCCTTCGAGCTTGCCAGTGAGGAAGTGAGTGAGCCTGTTACCTTTGTATCGAAAGCATGACATACCCTCCACAGCCGTGTTTCCTTGGGGTCTTGACTTAGTTTATCTTGTAAACAGAATCGAAGTTTGAGCAAGCTTAGAGAACTACAGTCAATTCCCATAAAACCCTTTCTGTTGCTATTCAAAGTCCCACCGTCATTTGTGAGTAGAAATTTTGTGACTTGTAGCAAAAGCAGAGACATTACTTTGCCAACAAAGGTCCGTCTGGTCAAGGCTATGGCTTTTCCAGTGGTCGTGTATGGATGTGAGAGTTGGACTGTAAAGAAAGCTGAGTGCTGAAAAATTGATGCTTTTGAACTGTGGTGTTGGAGAAGGCTTTTGAGAGTCCCTTGGACTGCAAGGAGATCCAACCAGTCCATCCTGAAGGAGATCAGTCCTGGGTGTTCATTGGAAGGACTGATGTT